CCTTTATCAAGCTCGGCCGCCAAGTGAGCATGTTGCCAGAAGGGCTTGCCATTGATTTCGGGTAAAAAGAATGACTGGAGAAACAATGTTGCGAGGTCACTGTATTTTGTTTAGCAAAGCTGCTGCATACCCTCGAAAACTTCGTTTGCACCGTGACGAGTTGGGGTTTGCTTACGTGTCGACTTGAACGTCTTGGTACTCTGTTCCGTATCGATGTACGCATATTGCATTCGCTGTCGCTGCTACAAAACCTGAAAGGGCAGAGGCAGATTCTGTCATTTTGCAACAAGTGGGCATGTATGGCTTGGGATCGATGCCAACAAACTGGACATGCTTTGCTGCTTCAATAATGGATGCAGGCAGACCCAACTGCTCGTTGTTGATGAGATGTTGGTGGAAAATACGCGCGCTCTCTTCTTGCACTGAATAGTTGTCCATCTTGCAAATCGTTTCTGAGCGTGTCATGTTGATGTGAATCGGGATCGAGTATCAATTGGTTGTAGTGTCCTGTTGGTTTATCAACACTGACTTGTGTTGCGCAAAGTATCGATTACCCCGTGTCACACAATGATATAGACAAAGTACATGTAGGCACGCCTCATTTGCAGCGTGAGATTAGTCACAGACTGTAGTTGGGTGCCTGCACTTGAAGCATGAATGCCCTGCCAGCCCATGGACGAGACGCCACTGCCCCTGTAGGACCGTGACAAGAAATAACCTGGCTCAGATATGGCGTCGTGGCGTCTTCCCGCAGCTTGTGCGTCGGAATTCTGGAGCTCGTGGCCTGCAGCCTTCTGCAACAGGACGAATATAGCCTACATATGTATCAATGTACTGCTGCTTTGTCTCAGCCCGTCCCAGAATTACTACTGGAATACGCCCAAGCATTGCCAAAGGGTCAAGCTCCAGTATACATAGTGCGCGGCCACGGAAAACATTATCTTTCGCAATCAATGGCCGGAAAACTCATGACAACCGGGAAACAATCGGGGATATTGTGTCCGTTATCGACATTAGGCTATACTACTTGCACGCAAAGCGCATCTTATCGCCTCTCGGCCATCTAGATGAAACCTGACGATGCTATTGATATCGGAACTTGTAACGATGAGGTCAAAGTCCTTTAACCACTCCTCAATGCCCGGGGTGGCCCTGAAAGCTATAGTCATGAGCGCCATTTGATGAGCTTTGGCCGCCTTGACCAGTCGGTCTCTGGCCTCGCAGAATACGGCATCGTCTTCTTTCCGTCCTGGGCCTCTGACCGGTAGGCGCAGTGAGACTCGCATATCACCCGGGCCGAGCATCAGGGCATTGATGCCTGGTGTAGCTGCAATCTCGTCGACATTTTCTAGCCCCAGCTGTTGTTATTGATTAGAAAAAGTCTGGTTCGGGTTGTGAAGACAAGAGTGCCAAAGTCTTACGGTAGTTTCAATCTGGCATATGACGGCGACATGCTCATCCGAGATTGTCTCGGCCGTGTGTCCATCCGGTGCTTGATCTGTAAGGAACGGCACAAGAGCCCATGGCGCCAGTGATCTTTCACCACCGTTGTAAGCATATCTGACCTTGTTTACCGCCGCCATGGCATCCTTTCGTGAATTTATGTGCGGAAAGACAATGCCAGATGCGCCTATGAGAGTTAGCACTCTCCCTTGGCCACAACGAGACGGTAACATCTTCCTCACCAGCGTCCAAAGCGTAGGCGAGCAAATGGGATTCAGCGCCTGGAACGCGCACCAGCGTACACGTCTTGCCCTCGCTTGTAAAGTTGATTGTTCGAATGAGTCCCACCAGACCCTCGGCATCGATGGCTCTGCATGGGTTGCGCGTTAGCAACTGGTTGTGTTGAGTGTGCTATCATGACACATACGTGTGTTGCGCATCAATAAGAATAAACTCGAACCCTAGCACAGACGCAGACCGCGCCGCTTCCATGTGTGGAATAGACAGCATGGCGCCAAACAACCGTCTCTGTCCACTCGAGTCACTGTCGCGAGTAGACTGAATGGCGGCGACAAAGTTTGATGGCTGGAAAAGCGACAATGCCCGGAATGCCTCCATGATTGAGGTTGAATTGAAGCAAATATCCCAACTGCCACAAATAGACAACCTGTAACAAGAATTCAAGGCTTGGATTTGCCTCGGGCTCGAGAATGGAACTTGTTCAGATGCCGGGGAGAATTTGAACCGCTACCCTGCAACGTCTGGATATATTAACAAGTTTCAAACCAGGGTGAGCAAAACTTGGCCATCGCACCGACGTTCATCACTGAAGTACTTGTCCATAGCTGAATATTCCGATATGAGCAATCAATATCCTCTGCTACTCCCGACCACATCGCGCATGTTACGCTACAAGGCAAGGAAAACCTACATGCTTCTCAACAAACAGCCTACCCTGCTCCGTCGAGAAATACGGAAGCACGGCATACAATACAGTGTAGAATAGGCTTGCATACGACCATCAATGCATGCGACATCATATTTCTAGTCACACCGCCATTTGCAAAAGCTATATTCTTAGCTCATGCACCATCATGCATGGCGGACAGAATGGTCTGTCGTGGACATCTTGTACCCCCTGTTGCTCCCGGCCGATTGTCTCAGGTGAATTTCCGCCTTGGACCAAGTCTCGCTCGCTCTACATCTGTGTCTGACTCCGGGTCACCAAGAAGAGACCAGTGACGGGACACCAAGCAGCACCTTCAGATAGACATATCATCTGTTGGACACAATTCGTTCAAGGGTGGGTAAGTAAAATGATGACCAGACTACGGCCATGGCGTCCCGTCGACCACTCACAAATTACAATAGTAGTACCAGTACTCCAGAGCACTGGGTTGCAAAATCGTGCTTTAGCTTGGGCCAAATGCCTTCAAAACATTCAACAATGCGTATCAAGTTATCGTATGTGGCTGATGATGACTCGGTCAGTGACGGAGCAAACCAACCGGCGCATGAGCAGGTGTCAAGGCTCCCGCTACTCGACTGTGAATCCCCTCATCGCGAACCATGCTGCGATCCGGATGATGCAGTTCCAAACTCTTCTTTGCCCGATACTGAGCAGTCTCAAAATCATGTCGGTAACGTACGTGACAACCACTTTGGCAATTCTAAACGTCTTATTCTCTGACCGCAATTACACCAGTCTCACAAGATCGGCATCATTGGTGCTGGGATAGCAGGTCTTTACATCGCCATGATTCTAGATGACCTTGCCATCGCGGATCTCACTTATGAAATTCTTGAGGCTAGTTCTCGAGTAGGTGGGCGACTGTTTACGCACCATTTCAGCAGTGACAAGCACGACTATTATGACGTTGGTGCCATGAGATATCCTAAGGTTCCGCCCATGCGGAGAGCTTTCCGCTTATTCCATGACACAAAGGTTCCACTCATGCCATACTATATAATGGACAGAGAAAGCTGTCCCAGGTATTTCAACGGAAGATTCTTTGCACCTGACGATGCCGATCCACATCACGTCGGTGAGGGCAACGGCGGTTCAGTTCCTGATTTTGTGGTGGCTCAATCCCGGGAGCTTCTGGAACGGGAATATGCACCCTATAAGGAGGGTCTGAGACAAGATTTTTCGACTGGTATTGAGGAGCTCTTGAAATCTGATGATGTCAGTACTCGACAGCATCTCGCTTTCGGTGGGTTACGCCGCGCCCGGCCCAAGTACGACTTTTTCAGTATCCAATGGCTGGAGAGGCAGAGCACATACACTGGCTTCTTTGAAAGGGCATTTTCCGCCAGTGTGATGAGATCATACTTGACCATTGGGGTTTCGTGGTGGTGCATTGACGGAGGCTCCGGCGTCCTGATTGATGCGATGCGAAGGCGGATCCGAAACCAGGTCGAAACCAACAAACATGTCACGGCCGTCACGATGGCTCGAGACATGTCTGAAGAGAACAACTTGTCAATCCATGTCCAAGGCGAATATCAGCCTCGTACGGGATTTAGCACGGTATTCAGCACCACCACTCTAGGCGCCCTGGAACGTATCGATCTGGCAAGCCTGGACTTGCATCCCTCACAAAGTGAGGCCATCCGTGCGATGCACTACGAAGACGCGACCAAAGTGGCCATCAAATTCAAATACCCTTGGTGGATTGTTCATTGTGGCATACGCCGTGGCGGCATGGGCATGACGGACTTGCCGATGCGAAGTTGTGTGTACCCTTCATACAATATCCTCGACGGTCCCGACGAGCCATCCGTCCTTATTGCATCGTATACACAAGGCCAAGATGCACGTCGTATTGCGTCTCTGATCGGTGCGTCTGCGTCGGATGGTGAGCCGCTCATCGATCTGATATTACGGGACCTGGCGACGCTACACGGCCAGCATGTGACGTATGATATGATCAAGGACGCATACACTGGCGAGTATCATGCCTATTCGTGGGGAAACGATGGCTATGCTTCGGGCGCACATGCATCTCCTAGTCCTTCACAAGTCAAAAATCTACTGCCATTCCTGACGCGGCCCGCCGCACAAGGAAAATTCCATATTGTTGGCGAAGCCTCGAGTCTTCATCACGGCTGGATAGTGGGCGCTTTGGACAGTGCCTACAGCGCCGTGCATCAATTTTTACGACTGTACGGTCTGGAGGACGCGATTGAACATCTTGAGAAACGCTGGGGTCTGTCTGATGAAGTTGAAAGTGAGTGTCAGGAGAAGTCGGGAGCACATTAAAGTTGACAAAATCAAACTGGTCACTAGTCGCCTCTCCATATCATGGGGGGCCATGATGTCAAGTTGACTCCAAAGGTTGAGTGTCTTGTTTTATTTGTCTATATAGACGGAAATACAGGAAAAACGTCCAACCATTTTGGTCTTTCAAAGCTTTAGTCTTGCATCTTGGAAAAAGTCGAGAGAGAGAAGAAATTCGAAATCTCGGACCGGCAAGCCTAGAAACTTGTATATATGGTGAAATCTGAATCAAGTTAGGTACCCAAGCTTTGCGAGGATGAGGGTGTGATTCAGCCGTTTACCTGTCACTGCCAAAAAAAGGCTCTTTGTGCCCTTCAGAGTTGCTGACTACAAGCCAAGGCAGACCAAAGGCACCCAGGTCACTGAGAGACTGAGAATTGGCCTTGAGCATATCCTGGTACTTCAGACTGGCCTGGTTTGACACAATGACCGTCACCTCATCCTCGGAAAACATTCGTTGAGAGCCATGGCGAGTTTCGGACCCACGAAACTCTAGTGGCATGTTGGAAAGGACTTGTGCAAGTACCGGCTCATCGAAAACCCGCTTTTCTGGGGTCGTCCAGAAGAAATGAAAAAGGTAGTGGAATGACGTGTGATACACGTTGCGTGGATAATGATCCTTGATGTACATGAGAGCGCGGCAAGGCTGCAAAGTCAGTATATTTCGTCTCACAGTAGATATTCGCTACTTGCCTTCTGGGTCCAACCCAGGTCTAACAGGTCTCTGAGGTCTTCTGGTAAAACAATATCCTCTATGCGCAGCATCTTTGCTGCTCTGACAAGTTCGTACTTTTCGAGGTATTCTCTCTTGGCTTTACTCCCGGCCCATGGTGGTGTATTACCTGATGCCTCAGCTGTTAAACTTTCTGCCACTGGTGAATATCATACCAGGATTGACATGCCTGAACTGGCATGAACCGCGCCCAAGAAGATGGGGTGGAATCTTGGTCACGGCACGGCAGTGTCAGCTCCCAGAGCAACGTGGATAATAATGTCACGATAACTCACTCGACTTCAACGTTGTGCCTTGCTAAAAGATCAAGGCTGTTGATCAGGTAGTGGAATGCCAGGAAGCTGTAAAACGAAGCTGAGACCATTAGCCATCTCGTTCCAAGTTGCCGGTCAAAATGTACGTACCAATATCGATATAGCAGTCGATTTTGCTACCCATGTTGCAATCTGATTGGGCTTCAATGTAACAGAATAGAATTTACTGGCAATATTTGGAATATTTGGAAAATCTTGCAGTAGAATTGCATGCGATTGACCCACTGGCAAGTCAGAGCAGGACACTGAGGGAATGTGGTTATCGTGACAAGTTGCTCTATTTGCATATCCTCACTTTAATAGGTCAAGTGCATACCGGGGTGTGTTGACCGCGACACGCTTTAATGCGTAGAAAAGAGAGGAGGACATTGAACAGATGAGACAACAATGAATACACTGCGCTGATGCATACACACCCGTTCAGCGTTACAGTGACGCCTTTGGTGAAAGCATCTACACCGTACTTTTGACTCCAAGCTGCAGTGTGGCTGACTGCTGGGCTTGCATAAAGAATCAGGGGCAAGAAAGACATGGAGGACCGTCGGGGCTTCAGAGACAAGCGCCACCTGAAATTGTCTCGGCTGCAGTTTCATTCGCATGCACCGGGAGTTTTGCCCGGCATGATTGGGTATCAACGGGATGTGACACAACTTTCGGCCACTCATGCAACCGGGACGGAATACACTGGACACGTTGTTTGGAGATACAAACTTGTCCGAGAACCTCAAAAGACTATACGAGACTATACGTGTAGGCAGCGGTCAAGCTGCATAGTAACTGCAAATTGAATTGGGGACAAGACGTACACATGACTGGTTACGAAATATACTCCGTACAGTAACAGCATCCAGTCTGCTCGACGTGGCATACGCAAGCCACGCCCAAGATGGCCCTTGTCATGCAGCCAACGGCAGCTTCATTTTCACACACCGCATCATGTGGGATTCGTCCTCTTCGCAGAAGGAGCACTCATAAGTGGAACTCATCTTACATGATTCAATCTTGCTTTGCAACCACTACAGTCTTCCCCCTCCACTTTTGATACGAAATCAACAATGACAATGGCGACTACTAGCACGACCAAGAATGTTACGACCGAGACCAAGCATGTTCTCTACGTTCCGGACACATACCATGAGGAGCCGGTACGGCCTGGAGTAAGTTCCTTGGCGGATATTCTCATTAAATAGATGCTAACATGTATCGTAGTATGTCGATGGGTTAATAGGCATAGACGGACTTCGTGCGGCAATCCCAAAACACTGTTTCCAACCGTCAATTGTGCGCTCGTTGGGGTTTTATTTACGAGACATTCTGTTCATGGTATCTTTGCTGATACTGGCGCTGTACCTTGAACGGCAAATCGAAAGCCCTGTGCTCAAGTTTGTAGTCTGCGTTCTCGTGTATCCCTTTCTCGCGGGCATGCCTGCGACGGGATTTTGGGTTTTGGGACACGAGGCAGGTCATGGCTCGTTTGCCAAGAACCGCCTGGTTGGTGACTTTTTTGGTTTCATCGCCCATTCGTTTCTCATGTCGCCATTCTTCAGCTGGAGGTCAACACATTCCAGACATCACGTGTATGCCAATCATATGGTTAAGGTATGACTGCATACGTCAATCATCACAATTCTGTCTTGAAACGCGTTGTTCAAACTTTTTCCTCGCAGGATCACAACTATGTGCCCCCAAGAAGGCATGAATACTCGGAATTGTTCAAGCCCAAAGGAGACTTTGAGCTCCGTGAGATGACTGAAGACGCTCCCATCGTGATTCTGGCACGGGTGATATTACAGCAGCTCATTGGATGGGTTTGTTTACCCCCAATTCGATTCTTATTCTCAGCATCACACTGATCCATGTGCTACAGCCCTGGTACTTGCTCACCAACATCACAGCCGGCAGTCAGGCTGTGCGCCGGCCATCCCACGGCTGGTGGAACAACAGCCATTTCGACCCATGGGGGGCTCTGTTTCGCGCTGAAGAATTCTGGTCCATTGTGGCCTCTGACGTTGGCATTATCGCCATGAGCTATCTCGTGTATAAAGCCGCATGTGTGTACGGCTGGTGGACGATTACTTGGACCTATATATTGCCGTTGATGTGGGTGAATCACTACATTGGTATGGAACCTCACAACGTGAGCTGCATCGTTCGTCGGCAGACTTGCTAATGCCGACATAGTCATCATCACTTACCTTCACCATACGTCTCCCCGTCTAGCCAAGTTCTCGCCAGAGTCATGGACCTTTCTCCGTGGTGCTTTGAGTACCGTGGATCGAGACCCCGGCTACTTCCTGAGACACTTGTTGCATCACATCATTGACCTCCATGTTGTTCATCATCTGTTCCCACGCATTCCGCATTATCACGCACAGGAAGCTACTGATGCTCTTCGTCCACTTCTGGGCAAGTACTATCATCAGGATAAGGGTTCATACTATGGTGCACTGTATTCAAACTTCAGAGATTGTCAATGGGTCGAGCCCAATCCCTCCTCTGAGTGGATGGAAAACGTTCCAAAGGTGAGCCGCAACGACCTTCTCAAGCTGGAGTATGTTTTTTCTCAAGCTGACTTGATTCTGTTTTGCCGCAGCGCCACATGACGGATGCTGGAACAACACAGGACGATAGAGAAGGTATATACTGGTATCATTTGGGAAAGATGCCTCGCCCAGTCATGGTAATGCGAAAGTGAGTGTTACAGTGAGAGCTCATTCTCACGCACGTTGATCCTGTTGCCAGAACGTCTAAGATCGGCATGCATTGTGGTCGAGTTGCTTCGAGTTGTGGTGGAAAACGCAGCCAAGCCAATTTATACTTGAACTATTGAGATGCAATGAGAAAACACAGAACAGCATTGGAGAGTTGAAAGAAGAGTAGTAAATAAATCCCTCGTGAAGCAGATTTGCGTGTATAGAAAAACGAATCGGCTAAAATCAGCCCACGGTGTCTTTGAAAGCTCGTTTCCTGCTGTGACAAGGGCTCGTCATGAGGGCTTGGAGCTAAAAGGGCTCAATTCAATAATAATCTCGAAGGGTCTCTAAGGTCTTAAGTTACTAAGAGAAGAGAGAGGAAGAGTAACCGTCTTATATATATAAAGGGAACACCTAGGCCTAGGGTCCTTACCTGGATATATATTCTAGCTGTATAACTAATAAGTCCTGTATTAGTAAAGCCCTTTTATTGGGCTTCATGATCTGTTGGGCCTTTTCCGTGTAACGCCTGCCGCTTCTCGTTGGTTTCATTTATGGCTATAGTAGTAATCCGAGGGTTTGGACTTGACGTCAACTTTGAACAAGAAGACGCTATAGATGTCCGAGTCACCCACTAGCCGGCTAAGCAGAAGAGATAGGACGTGGCAGAGGTTCTTTCCTGAGCAATACACAATGACTGGTCACACGCTCAGCCAAAGCGTCGTCTCTTTATTTGTGCGACAGAATATTGTATGCCCCGTGTATTACTAATATTCCGTCATATAAATCGTCGCATTTTTACCCCGCTCGAGCTTTGGAGCTCTTACTCTTGCTGTCATTTCGATCGTATAGCCAAACTCACCTCACCATCACACAATGCCTGGCACAATCTCTGTTCCCCGTGGAGATGTCAAAGCAACCTTGAACTTTTACGGACCTCCGACTGACGGATCGCCTCCCTTTCACATTTACAACGAGGAGATGAATTCTGAATTCCAACGCAATTACTCGCATTGTCCCCACGACATCATCATCCATGATGTCCGTGACCAAGACGTCGAGTTCACGATTGACCGTGACGCCTTTCAGATCATCGAAGGGGTACCACCGTCAAAGGAAACCGACTTCACCGATGACGAGTCTATCCAGATGAACTTCTACCCGGAGGTGAAAGAGCTGGTCTCTGCCCACATTCCAGGGATCGATTACATCTTTATTTACAACCACACGATCCGGTCACAAGTCCCAGGTGCGGCATACCGCCCATTGACTCGCGTTCATAATGATCACACACCCAACTCCATCGTTCAGCGCGTGAGGGAGTATCTCCCCACCGAGGCAGATGAGCTCTTGCGGCATCGGTACCGTACCGTCAACGTTTGGTGTCCCCTCAACAAGAATCCCGTAGAAGAATGCCCGTTGGCCTTTTGCTCTGCCGCAACGGTTGCAGATGAGGATTCCGTCACTGTTGAGCGCCGCGGTGAGGATGGCAGATTCATCCGGGAAGTGGCGCTTATAAAGTATAACCCGAATCAGAAGTGGTACTACCTTAGTGGTATCACCAATAACGACCGGGTGATTATGGAGTGCTTTGATAGTGAGTCGCTGAAACAGAGCTCTGGAATCAGAGGGATATGCCCCCATGCAGCATTCAATGACCCGCGAACAAGGGAAGATGCTGAGAAGAGAGTCAGCATCGAGGTCCGCTGCCTGTTGTTTAGCAAGTAGCTTAGTACTTGTCATTGAAATTTCATTCAACTCTACAAGGTCGACCAGCATGCTATGGCAACATCTGTCCCAGCCTCGTTGCCTGCCCAATAAGTGTCTTGGTGGTGTCATCCGCATAGCGTTGATAAGTTATAATATACTTTTCATCCTCGCTCCATGTTTCCTGAACGCTCTGCCGCTTCATAACCGCACTATACCACTTAGACCACCGTTGCCAGATATCATCCCTATCCTTTAATGGAATACCTGCTCCGCCAATCTTAAAGTGATCTAGTAACCAAAGACGTTGTGCCCATGGAGCTAGACTAATGTCGACTAGGCTTATATCTTCGCCTAAGAACCACGGCCCCTGTGAATGCATTTGCTCTGTGAAGCTTCGAATGTGACCAAGGAATTCAGTGCGAATTTCTTCGAGGCTATACGGCCTGTCTGTCGTGTGCTGAAGAAACTTGTAAAATGCCGGGATGATTCTTGTATTGATGTGATTAATCCACAGCCGTGCGTGGGCTCGCGTATATGGATCTGACGGCAGCAGCTGATGATGTGGAAATTTGTCCTCCAAGTATTCGCATATGATTGAGCTTTCATATAGCGGCCTTTGGTCGGCTGCCAAAGCGAGGATCGGTACCAAGCCGCGAGGGTTCATGGCCAGGAACTCGGGCTCTTTCCTGCCCAGGTCGACTTCAATGTATTGATGGGGGACGTTCTTCTCGCACAAAGTGATCCAAACTCGTTGGACAAAGGGGCTAAACCACGCGCCATACAGTTTAGTTGGGTGGTCAGCGGCATGTTTGCCAGCCAGTTCGGCGGCAGCACCAGAGGCGTGTGGCGGAAGAGGCATCTAGTTTGATATCAATACCAGTCAGTGTGCGTCCGTTTAGTCGTAGATGTGGTCATGAATATAAGGCACTTGGAAAGGATTTGAGCTGAAACTTGCAACAGCGTAACTGCTTTCTTCCAGGACAGGAATGGGAATCGATTGCTTCTTGACAGTGTGCTAGATTAGAAGGGCAATTCAACGGCGAGGTGATCTGAGCAGATGTTGGGTAACATTGAAGCCCGTGGCGCCTTTGCCAGGAAGTACCAGCTGAGGGTGCGGAATTTTGGGGGAATCAGAAGCGGTCAAAGTCGGGCCCCTGTAGCAATTGCCAAGAGTTCAATGTTGATATCGTGTCTGTCAATTCATCAATATCATTTAATTGGTTAGTTGGGCAAATGGTGGCTGAGGACAGTGAATACGGAACGTTGGCAAGCAATACGCTGTACATGTATGCAGCTTCCCGCTTTGCATCTTTGAAAATATAATACCCGACACATGTATATGTTGATATAATACGACCGTCCCTTGGGCTCTGATTGGTCGAGGGCAAATACATGTACTCATGAGTCATTGGTAACTGCACTTGCCGCAGCCACATGCATAAGTCGCTTTCCAGCGCATTGATGCATCGGTTGCTGCTTGATTATTGCATTGTTTATCCCGCGTGGCATGGTACAACGCCGTCCTTGTTTCTGCCACGTAGGGTCAATCAAAAGGCCAAGGCATTCCACCTCATTACGCCACCTAGACCGTCTTTATCCAATCAAACCATAACGGGATATCTACTCTGTACGAGCAAGACATGCACAGGTTGTCTTGCATGCATGGACCAAGGGTCGGTAAAGAAAAAACAAGACTCAGCGTCGTACTCAATACAATCATATACCCGGAGGGTGTCTTTATTCGACTGACAAAAGTGGCGCATGCTGGCGTTGCTGGAACGGCTCGTGGTCTGAGATAATGACCTTGTTGGTTCATCTTTTCATCACGGCCTCACCGCCATCTAAGCTTTGGTCAAAGTCGCTTCCATCTGGTAGGCCCGACAAGTGTCCCCTGGCCACGGATCCCAAGGGTTACACTTACACATCCCGTGCCCTTTGTTGCGACCCAACACTGCGCAACAGGTAATGCAAGCCGTGCAGCTGCATATTCCGCTCAAGGGCTTGGAGTGTAATGTCCTACAAAGAAAAGAATCCCGATTGAGGGGACCTCCACATACGCCAAATCGACCGTTCATGATCCGGGTGATCTCTTTATTGTCATTCATGGACATGTCTCTTTCCCTCGTTAAGCTATGCTTGACCTACGTAACGTGGCCACGCGCCATGATCTCATCCAGGACCCTCTCCAATTGACAGGACAAGAGACTCTTCTGGTCTCGGATTTTACTACCGGGTAGGATCCTGTTCCAAGCTCCAAATTCTCAATACCAGACTGCGTGCGGCATATATCAAAAATACAAAGTATGGCGGCACAAGTGACGGGCCAATCTGGCCAACCTGATATTGCCTACACGCCAAACTTGGAAATCTACCAGCAGCGCCTTAAACGGCGCCAAGAAACTGAAGAGCTGGATAAGACCTTGCCTGATGGGTTTCCACACAAGTTACATTCTCATATGGCTTGGACTAGTGCGACCGTAAGTGACCAATATGGGTGGTTTTATGAGCTGAGTGAACCTGATCTGGACGAGATTCAGCAGGCGCTGGACATTTTTAAGGGTAATTTGATACCTTGCCACATGTGTGCTTTGTAAAACGTCCTGACCATGAGAACAAAAGACACGGGCAAATCACTTGGTTACATCAACCAACAAACGTTTCCCCTTCCTACCCTTCATTCACGGTTACGATCCGTATCGAATGATATCCACAACACCTTTGGATTTAAAGTTATACGAGGTATTCCAGTAAAAAAATATACCAGGGAGGAGAACATTATTGTCTATGCAGGTATAGCATCTCATGTGACTACTAGGCGAGCACGACAAGACCACCAGTTTAATGGACGGCCAGCCAATGTGGTCCTTGACCACATTAAAAACCTCACTTTAAAGTTAGATGCAAAGCATATTGGGTCTCCAGCATACACTGCAGAGCAACAGGGCTTTCACACAGACGCGGGTGACGTGATTGCGTTGTTCGCGCTGGCGGACGCAGCCGAGGGGGGTAAAAGCTACATCGCAAGCAGCTGGACAGTGTATAATGAGCTGGCAGCTACAAGACCTGATTTGATTCGGACCTTATCCGAGCCTTGGCATGTTGACGGGTGAGTACAGTCTCCTCAGCTCTTTATACAAACTGTTTGGATTATCACATACCGACAAAGCATCCAGATTCGGCAAATCCGCGCCTACATCTCGACCACTACTCTTTCATCAAGCAGCAACGGCGAGCAATCCAGAACGGGTGATTATACAGTATGCCCGACGAGCGTTTACGGGATACTGGGGTTTACCCCGAAGCAGCCATCTCCCGCCCATCACAGAAGCTCAAGCAGAGGCACTTGATGCTTTGCACTTTACGGCCCAGAAACACGCATTAGCTCTTGAATTCCAGTCTGGTGACATTCAGTTTATTAATAATCTGAGTATTCTTCATGGAAGAGGCGCATTTCGCGACACCCCGGATAAACAGTGAGTTCTTTAATACCAGACTGCGTATTTTTACCTCACGGCTGATACCTACAATACATGCATCAGGCGCCATCTTTTGCGTTTGTGGCTTCGAGACGATGAGTTGGCCTGGGATACTCCTGCTGCGCTCCAAAGTCGCTGGCGCAGATTGTTCGATGATGTAACGCCAGAATCGCAGCTTTTCCCACTAGAGCCATCCATTCGATCAACTTCATCGGCGTAATCCACTGAACATGTTGCGAGTCTCTCTCGGGGGTCGGAGATGAAAATATTAGACTGCGGAATAATGTACGTTTTCTCTACGGAGGGACGGTTCCTACGAGTGACCACGGCATCCATGTGCTCGAGCTTTTTCTTGACGGGAGGGATCAATTGGCCTCGTTGGTTAAAGGTGGAAAATATACCAGGAGAAAAATGATGGTTACTAAGTGCGTAATATACGGCAACGAGCCTGCTTGCCGCTACAGATTGTTGGTTACACAAATTAAACACGTGTCCTGGCAAGGGCCCTCGGCACAGACGCTCTTTTTGTATATATAATAGTTATTAATGCCCTCTTTTTCTCTTAGGAAACTAAGAACCTTGGATACCTTACAGTAATAATTTTAAGTTTGAACCCTTTTACAAGCCCACATATTGTGCCCTTTTCATAATAGCATCAGAGCTTATTGTCGGAATGCCCACGGAATTCAGTCAGGACACTCAAAGCGAAACCGCAAAGCGTCTACTAGCTTGAATCGTTAACGAACGTCTTTTACATATCACTTCAGCATCTTGGGATTCTTTCGTACATCTCATTTCCTGCAGCTCGCCTAGAAGCTGGGCCTGGACGTCGCACCGCCCAAACTTTGTCTGTCGGTATGGCCGCGCTTTGCTTGTCCATGACTCAGGTCTGTGGATAATTTATCAAGGATTCGATACTTGCGTTGCCGAGATATTTGGCGCCCTCTGTTACGGCGCGACGTTGGTTCATCGACATGACGATTTATTCTCTCATCTCCAAACCGTAGATGCAACCATGACAACCCCGTCTATCCTGAGCGCTTTGGATCCCAAAGACTTTGCAAATCCGGAAATGGTAAGTCTAGGACTTTGTAACTGATGATACGTAATGCTAACTTGAAGGTCTAGATTGTAGTCGGTGGAGAATCTATTCCTTCGGCTCTACTTGAACGGTGGGGACCGGCCAGGAAAGTGTTTAATAGTTATGGACCGAGTGAAGTAAGCTCTAATTAGCTCTCTCATGTTTCTTCAAACCAGCTTGAGCAATCCAAGTTAACCTCAAGACCAGTGCACTATCGGTTCCACCTTCTGTCCGCTTTTCATTGACCAGCCCATCACGCTTGGTCGACCCATCCCAAGAATGAATGTCTACATATTAGACGAGGATCTCAGACCTGTGCCAGTCAGCGTTCCCGGTGAAATTTGCCTCGCCGGTATACAAGTGACTTCTGGGTATCTGAACCAAACAATGGAGACAGAGAAGCGGTTCATACGAAACCCATTCACCAAAATCGGACGCCTGTATCGAACTGGGGACCGAGGATGTTGGACACAGGGTGGCGACACTGAGTATATTGGGAGAACTGATAACCTCGTCAAAGTGAGAGGATTTTGGGTAGATCTATCTGAAATCGAATCGCCATTTTAAAGCTATCATCTGCGTTAACTGGCGTCTGCATTATTGTCTCCAACGGCAACTTGATAGGTTTCGTTGAGTCGGCCGACATGGAGACTACTCAGATGATTGATCAACTTTCTAAATTGCTTCCCCGGCATTCCTTGCCTTCTGTTATACTTGGCATGGACCGACTTCCAAGGACAGTAAACCAGAAGATTGACCGAAAGAGCCTTGAACAAAATGCGTGGCAGAGGAACCTTAAGCAGCACGTAGAGTTTGAGACTGCCACCGAGCAGATAATAGCCCGTATCTGGGCAACAGTTCTAAGTCGGGAATATGAACAAATAAGTGCCTTGGATGATTTTGTTACCTTGGGAGGCCATTCTTTGCTCCAGATTAGAGCCTCAAGAGAGCTTTCCACTCATTTTGGCCGATCGATACCCCTTGGCCTCGTCATCAACAACCCTTGCCTCCCATGGCTCGCAAAGGCAGTGGATGAATATATAGTTACGGCTCAGGAGAGGTCGAGTGTGGCTTGTCCGTTTCAGTTAAGCCGGAGGCTGCCAAGCTCAAACGTCGCACTCCCTCTTTCTTACCTGGAAGAAGAAATGTTCCTGTGGTGCCTAATGACAGAACATCCATCGGCGATGAATGTTGCCTGTGTCCTCCATTATCCAGCTAAGGTTTCGGCGGATAGGCTACGGATCGCTGTAGATTCAGCGATCAAGTCGTACGAGTTGCTTCGATTACAATACATCCTGGTCAACGGGGTTCCTCAGACAATTTTGTCGGACCAATTTAGAAAGACAGATATCGTCGTGAGTACACCAGGTCTTATCCAAGACCGTTTAATCGACATCATCAGCAACACTCTGTTCGACCTGGAGAAAGAACAACCATTTCGGAGTTGAATTATTTTAAACAGGGATAAGAGTAGAGGTCGACTCGTTTTAGTCTGTCCTCATATTGTGGCTGACAAGGCGGCTATTTCACTATTAATTAAGAAGATTGACTCCTTTTATCGCGAAAGTTCAAAACGGGTAGTTGGTGTGGAGCGCGGGAGAAAAAATGCAAATAGTCAAGAGGTGACGAGCGCAGATCTTGATTATATCGACTGGGCAAACTGGTCGAGAATAAAAAGTGCTCTTCACGGTGACGCTGATAGATTTTGGAATACCTATTTGCATGCAAGACCCGCCAGTCCGTTCAGCGTTCCGGACCACATCCCAACATCCGGACCTGGAGATTTTCGAGATGAAAGTTTGCCAAGCCCTGCTCTTTCTTCTTTATCCTCTCTCACGTCCTGCAGCCGGAACCAGCTTCTATTGGGATCGCTTGCGTTGACAATCTATGCTCTGACCGAGGCGTCAGATATTGTTCTGGGTATATCATTCCATAATCGCAACGAATCGGGCACAGAGGACGTTTTTGGGCTTTTACTCGATCGTGTTCCAATTCTCGTCCTAATTAACGAACCCAACCTCTCGTCGACTGAAGAATTCTTTGCCCATATTCGGCAGTCAGCAGAGAGTGCTATGGCTCACTTTGCGAGTTATCAAGCTATTCAAAAGTCTCTAAGGAAGCAAGGGGACACAAGACACGACCCGTTCTTTGACTCAATGGTCGCTTATCACTCTATAGATGACTCTACTGGCACCCGCGAGTTTTTGGGAGGACCGCTTGACCTTGTTCTTGTAAGGCCCAGGGGAGGTTCGAAATTTCGGCTCATGGTTGAGCTGACAGAGATGCAAAATGGCACAATTTCCCTCTGCATAGAGTACAGAACAACAATATTCACCGACGACTATATCAGCCGTCTACAATTAACAAGTGTAGAGGTTCTTTCTAATATTAGCAAGATGGGACCGCTGGAAACACTCTATGGAATCAAATCCCAATCCAGAGCATTTACAGAAAAACTACAATTGTACTTTTTAAAAAGCTTAAATATTTAATAATAAATTAAATAAATTAGTCAAGATGCGTAGACGGTCTGCGTTTCTAGTCTCTTACTATCCTTGGCCTGGTACAGCCCAATACTGTTTTAGATTTTACGCTTGCACGATACTTGTATTATGCGTGTAATTTTATTTGACTACAAAGCGAAATAACCGAAGATTAATATTATTAATTACCTTTTTTTCGCTGATATTAACCTGTAATTTTAATAAAACTTATTATAAAAAAATGGATAAAAAAAGAGAGTAAAACAGGCAGCGACTAATACGGATCGCTATAACCCATGTATTATATTATAATTCTCACAGCTATATAACATATTCTTTCCTTAAACTACTTCCTGTAACAACCTTTTCTGCCAAGCCATAAATCGTAAGCTCGCCCAGGATACCCTTTGTGCCAACTGTAGCGCCAAGTTCCCTCTTAAACCACGACTTCATATCAACAGTAACCAGAGAGTCAACGCCATACGAGCTCAAGGTTCGGTACGTTTCCATATCCTTGGGAGAAATGGCCATAATCCTGGAGATCTTGGCAATGATGGCGTCGGAGACGAAATCAACTGCCTCTTCCGTGGACGCTGCACCGGCGAGTCCTTGTGCAATGGATATAGTCGCCTCTGCCTCGTTGGCTTTGCCTTGCCGCCCCGAGGCGCGCAAGTGCGTAAACAACGGGTGCGACATGAAAGCTGGCAGCGGGACTGAGTGGCGCTGAAAGTCGCTCGCGGATCGGAGGCCAGCAATTGTGTGACAGTTGTCGCTGTTCTCGGCGGCGCCCAGTCGCGGATCCATGTGGTACTCTAGGATGGAGAGGAGACGGTCTTCTGTGATGGTTCCGTATGCAAGAGCAATAGGGAGTCGGTCTTGGTTTTCAGCAACCCAGCCAAATGACAGAACGCTTCCAAGACTAATAGATGTTGTTGGCCGTCCTTGGGCCGTGAGATGTCTTGCGAACGTGTCTAGGAATACGTTTGCGGCGGCGTAGTTAGCTTGCCCACGGTTGCCGATAATAGCGGACGAGGATGATAGAAGGATAAAGAAGTCTAATTTTTTAGGGAGATTATTAGTAATATTAATTGTTCCTTGTACCTTAGGTCGAATAGCGGCCATGAATTGGCTGTGTGACATGTTGCAAATCATAGAATCCTACATTTTGTCAGAAAAAAATCCAAGATGATAACCTAAGCAGGTGGTAGGATAACATACGACTAGCACCATGGAACATTGGACGCAGCCCTTGATGGGAGGCATTGTGTCGCGACACCTTTGCATGGACTTGTTCACCGATTCCGTGTCAGCTGCATCACTTACGATACTTTCCACCCGGCAACCAGAAGACTTTAGCGTTTCACAGAGTTCTCGGGCCCTAGGATCCGTTGGTCCCGATCTTGATAGGAAGATAAAGTTCCTCGCTCCGCGCGAGTGCATCCAAAGCGCTAGTCTTCTTCCAATGCCCCCGAACCCCCCAACAAGAAGGTAGGATGCGTCTCCTCTCAGACGATAATCACCGATTGGTTCAAGACGCATCTATGTATCTGTTAGGACCCTCTCATGCGTTGCAACGAGTATGAGAAACACTTACGGGGACCACTTCATCATCTTTAGGCTGGACAACAAACATGGAGGGGTTCTTTGACTGTCTGTCGCGAAACCGGAGGATAGCTTTTGGAAGTTCCGAGTATCCTAATACCTCAACATGACTCAAGGGTTTGAACTGAGAGCAAGAGAGCCGACGCGACGTGTCTAAAAGTGCCTCTTGGATGAGTTCGGGCCGGGACTGGGCTACTGGATCCATGTCGACGGATGTATAAGAAATACTTGCCTTGGAAAGATCTTTCAAGGAGAGATGATTAGCGGTAGCTGCGCCATGGAGATCAACGACGCGACCAAAGGGTGTAACATGGGATTGGTACGCGTCAGAGATTCCCATTGGATCACAGTTCAGATACACATTAATTCCTCCTTTGCAAATTGAGGAAAGAATAGCCTCCACGCCTAATGGTGCTTTGTCATTCGACAAGACAGCTGCCTGGTCGAGGTTATATCGAGAAGCCAGGACGAGATTGTCCTCGTTTGAAGAGACAGTGCATAGCAAGTTGGCGCCGATCGACTTGGCGAGTTGAATAGCCGCTTGCCCGATAGCGTTGTCTGCGCACTGGATCATAATGGTTTCGCCCGGTTGCACACGAGCCACTTTGACGATGCAGTAATGGGCGGTGCAGAAGTTCCAGGGAATTGTTGCAGCCTCGAGATATCCCACCCCGTCTGGGATCTTTTGGACTGCGCTGCAATGGGTTCGGAAGAGACTTGATAGAGCGCCGCTCGATGGAATAGTCCTCACGGCCATGACTCGGTCGCCAACAGCAACGTCTGTTACGGATGACCCAATTTCAGTCACAAGACCAACACAATCTCGGCCTATGCCTTGCCCGGGTATCAAACGGCTAGCCTCATCGGCGTCTTCTCGTCGTACGCCAGCGGCATGTACCTTCAGTTGAACTTCATCATGGCCCAGGGGGCTCTCTGCCAGTTCATCACGAATGAAATGGAATGCCTGCGGTTTATGAGGGTCAATTGAAGTGAGCTTGATCCCTTGGGAGATGGCTCCAAGCTGAATAGACTCAGTTTTCGGTTCCGATCTCCTATTCACAGCCTTGTTAATCTTCTTGGCAGGTAGAAGCCTGTTTGTCAAGAGTACTCCGTCCTTTGTGGCGTATTCACCGTTGGCAGCTATCACACCCTGAGAGATGAAGGCTCCACGAGCCACACGGGCAACTTGTTCTGAGATGACAGAGTTGGGAGGCAATGGATTGCATATCCCAAGCGTGATGAAGTTGACTGCATCCTGATCGCGCTCCCATCTGGCACTTCGGACGAGACCACGGCACATTGCCGCCTTGGAGTCGTCGTCCGGATTGCCCGAGACCCATATCATATTAATGCAGGTTTCCAGGACCAACTTGATCTGTTGGAAGTCGGGGTCCGTTATATCCGAAAGATCAAATCCCTGCAAGTTCAACAGAGATACACAAAAGTCTGCGTCAAGTTCACCGGCATCAGCCTCACGTAGGCTTACCAAGGAGCAATCGCATGCAAGAACCTTGGCCAGTGTTGAGGCACACTCTCTAGCAAGCTGCAGTTGCGAGACATAGTCGGCATGGTAGATGATTGCGCATTTGTAGCCATGTTGACATGTTTCGTCAAGACGCTGCTGTGTAGATGCAATAGTTGCTGATGTCTCGTGGTTGGCGGCCTCGTCTGTGTCCTGTATTTGCATCCTCAGCTTGAAGCCAGCTTCCTCCAGCTCAGCATCCCATTGCTTTTGGTCTATAAGAGGGTTTGATTGACGATAAGACTCGATGCCGCGCCACCACCCTGGTAGTATGCCAAACGCCAGCGGCGTGCACATCAACTGAGGCTTGACATTTTCGATGACGATGAGGTCTCCTCCACTAAGAAGACTGTTAGGCACCAGACCAGTTTGTTTTGAGAGACTAGGCATTACCTCTTTAAGAGACTTTTTATGTTCTTCAAGCTCACTTGAAGATTGGCTGTAGCATGTAGGACCTGACAGTTTGCATCAGCACTGCTTCCACGCAGAGGGACCAGAATCACTTACATGAGTCGCAATAACAAGGTCATAAGATGCGAGTTCGAATCCCTGAAGTGCTGGATCCTTTTCGACGTCAAACGTCTGGTAGCGCAGAACGTCGGACCAGTCGGCAAAACGAGACTTGGCACGTTCAAAGAATGCGCCAGACATGTCGGTGAAGTCGTACGTATCAATAGGCAAAATGCCGCTCTCGGCATCCTGTCCACCGGAATTCCTAAACGCATCGAGTACAATCTTGGTTGCGCTGCCCGTACCCGCGCCGACTTCGAGAATCTTTATGCGAGACTGGTTGTGTGACAAGTACTCCAGGTAATGCGAAATGCGGACTGCAACGTCTCCGGGTAGGCCTTCGTTGTATGTTCGACTCATGATATCGTCGCTCCCAAACATGAGTTCCAAGCTGTCGACTTGTTGGGTCAGAATAGGTACAAGATTGACGCCAACTCGAGTAAGAAGCTCTCCCCGGGCACTTCGTCTGGCTACACTATCGAACAAGGCCTGTTTGAGCTCATCGTTGACACGAACCTGCTCCAATGCCGTGAGGTCGACAAAAGGAGCTCTGCCTTGCGTAATAATTTCGGCTTGCGCCTTTATCCAGTCAACGAATGACCGCAGATGCAAAGGCAGGTCGTCTTCGTTCAATCCGGAAATTTTCTGTAGCGAGTCTAGCACGAATACCGAACATGTGAGTTGAAGGCCTTGGTGGTCCTCTCTTGTAAATGCCTTGATTAAGCTGCCAGACAACTCCCGAGAGCTGCTGACTTTTTCAAAAGACGTCAGCATTTTTGCGTCTGGCTTCCATGTTTCAACGTAGAAAGACTCGTCGGCAGCCTGTCCGTCTTCCTGCGGTGGCAGAAGAACCAGATCGAGTCCCTTGATGAGGAAATTTGGCTCCAACGATCCTTGAGCATATACCGCGACGTCTGATGTATAAATGGTTGATGTTTTCCTCTCCGTCTCGGCAAAGGTTTTAAACTGGCGGCTGGTAGCTGTCTCGTCGCTGAGAGGGTTTGTAATCCAAACATGCCCCAAACGATTGGCAACCATCGAGCCATTGACTATCGTGCCTTCCGGGCTTCCTAGACATAAAAGACCTTGTAGGATGCTTTCGAGAGCGCAGGGGTGAATGGTGTATCGGTCATGAGCTGTCCTGGGTATATCTGGCGATAAAACATGCGACATATAAGCCATCCGATCTTGGGACCGGCGAAATTCCCTAATGCCCTTTAAGTAATCTCCAAAGTTGGTCCCCGCGGACGAAAAGCTTTGATACAACTTGTCTGGTTCAATCATGTCAGTGAAATACCGGTTTTCCGCTTCGGTTGAGGCGGTTGCAGCTCGCATCGCCGCCGAGAATAGTTGTCGGGGTGGTGATGCCGTTCCCTTTTCTACCCTAATGCTTCCCACACAGTGTTCTGTCCAACTATTTCCGTCGAGATTATGGGAAACGAAGCGGAATGTTGACCATCCACCGGATAGTTCAGTTGCTTCGTGTAACTGGGACAGGGAGAATATTATCTCAACCCCGACTGCATCGTCAGGAACAAACAACGACTCCAAAATCGAGATATTTCGCAGTTCCACAGCTCCAGCGTCAAGTGCCCCGAATCTTAGCAACGCGGCTTCTACCGCCATAAGAATATAGGCAACTCCTGGAAAGAGGATCTTATCATTCAACTATGATAGGTCAGCATCTGGAACGAGTAACGGGAGGTGGATGGAGTGCGAACCCTGTTTGACGACAGCCACGGGACTTGCTGCGGCCCAATAAAGTTCCTCCAGCGCTGTTCGAATGGATTTGAGTCCAGAAGGGGAACACCTAGCAATTCGTGTCTTCCAAAAGCTGGAAACTTTAAAGCTTCAATCTGCCTTGTCGTTGCTCTCTTGCTTGTGTGGCGAAAGGCATATGGAGGGAGATCATTGAGAACATGTTTGGTACTAAATCCGTTAGCCATTTCCCTTTCGTTGACAGCAGTAATATCCACTGGATAACCCAAGGTGTAGAGAAGACCCATGGTTTGCAGCACGGTCTCGCCACTTGTTTCACCTCGCTTCAATATGCTTGCATATCCGATGGACTGCAGGATTTGAGAATCCGCAAACGTATCTTGAATGGCGCTTCTCAGAGCTGAATGAGGACCAATCTCGATGATTGTGTCTGTGACCTTGTCCAGCCGCTTCAAATCGCTGTCGGCTCCAATTGAATCCAGGAGGGCGGAAGTAAACCGTACAGGAGAAACGAGGTTCTTGACCCAATATTCCGGCCCAATATCATCATGAGGTCCAATGCATTCGCATGTGAGGGATGAATGCATGCGAATACCGGTATTCTGGTTAACTCTGTCTCCAAAGTTCAGGTCCCCTAGGCTTGTCAAATACTCTCCTGCAACTGCTTTTAACTCTGCTGAGTGGTATGCAACCTTCACGCCGAGCAATTTGCAGAAAATGCCCGATTGTTCCAACTCTTGCTTTAGCCTATCCAGGCTTTCCCTTTTACCTGTAAAAGTCAAATTCTTGGGGCTGTTAAAACAACCAATTTGTACTTGCAGTGGTTGTTCGATGCCACCAAGTCGTGAGAGCAACTCTTCAGCTTGCTTTTCGCCAACGGCCGCGGCCATCATGGTGCCATTTCCCATGGCCTTTGAACAAACCACGCCCCTGCAGAAAGCAACTTTCCAAGCAGCCTGCCGAGATATTTTTCCAGCGCAATAGGCGGCAGCAATTTCACCTGAAGAGTGCCCTACGACCGTTGTCGGGACAATATTCCAGCTCATCAACAAGTCAACCAGCCCAACTTGGACCGCGATACAGGTCGACTGCGCCAGAGTGGGCTCCGTCATGTCCAAGTCGGAGCGTGCGAGAATTTCTAAGCTTCTATGAGCAATTGTCTGCATAATTCAAGACACTGACTGGCCCGGGAGGAAGGGGGCGTTACAACTTACCTCTAAGATCCCAGTCAGCCCCAAGGTCCATAAAGTACTTTGCCGCCTCGCAAATCCTCGTCTCGAAAATCCGGTACACCATTAGGTCTTGAGCCATTCCCGGCCAATTTGCTCCCTGACCGGTGAAGACAAATCGCACAATCTTGGGAGTCTTGGACACCCGAAGAGGATGCGGAACCTGGCGTAAGGAGCTGAGTAGGCTGTCGTGGCTGTCTAGGATATAGTAACATCGCCAGTCAAAAGATGACCTCTTTTCGTTAACAGTATGCAGAAAATTCTCCAGGAATTGCCCTTTAACAGGCACAGATTGCAGATATTCCACGAGACGAGCGTTATTTCGCTGTATTCCGTCTTCATCAAATGCTGACAGTGTGAGGATTCTTTTCTTGGCCGGTGAGGAAATTACAGCACCATTTGGTTTGTGCGTTAACCCGTTGACGCTGCTTTCAAGGTCACTGTCTTGGTGGTTAAGCCCGTTGGTATGTGCATGTCCATTCGTGAAAGGCTTCATTGTATTGAGACTTCCGGCTGCAAAACCCTCATTTTGGGATAGAAATCCGCCAATGTCTTCCAATACAACGTGGGCATTCGTTCCCCCAAACCCAAACGAGTTGACAGACGCGCGACGCAAATCACTTCTTGGCCATGGTATCGCTTCCTTGGTAAACCGTATCCTCTTTTGATTCGGTATATTGGGGTTCAGCTTCTGTAGATTTGTGACGGGAGGTATCGAACCGGATTCTACGGCGAGGGTTGCTGATATCAGCCCAGCTATGCCCGCGCCGCCTTCCAGGTGTCCTATCACCGACTTGACCGAACTGACAAACAGATCGCTTTCTCTGTTGGGCGCAAATGCCGAAGAGATGGCAGTAAGCTCAAGAGGGTCTCCGACAAATGTACCTGTTCCATGTGCTTCGACGTATCCCGTGTCGGCCATGCTGAGATTTGCAGCGGCGTAAACTGAACGGATCAACTGCTCTTGGGCAACGGCGTTGGGAAGCGTGATGCCCGCCGTCCTTCCGTCCTGGTTTGAGCCAGTACTGCGAACGACAGCCCGAACGTGGTTGCCATCCCTTAGAGCAGCTCGTAGCGGCTTGAGGATGACAGTGCCGACGCCCTCTCCCCGTCCGTAGCCATTGGCACGCTCGTCAAAAGTGAAGCATTGTCCGTCAGGCGATAGTACCCCTAGACTGCATAAGTTTTGTGTCGCCCCTGGATGTTCCATAATGTTGACACCGCACGCGATGGCCTGCATGTCACGGCAGAATTAGCCAATATGGAATGGATATGGCCTTGGAGCCGCAGTTGATGCTTACCATGGAGTGTCCATGCTGTATGCTCTGGCATGCTTGATGAAAGGCAACCAGGCTGCTTGAGCAGGCAGTATCGATGGTTTGACTGGTTCCACGGAGGTCATAGAACCAGCTAATACGGTTTGATAGGATAGACGGGCTCGTTCCGGTGGATGTACATTGCAAGGTCGATAAGAGATCCGAGTTGGCAATGGCCAGGGAGTCATTGTTGGAACAGCCGACATATACAGAGGTTGTCGTGGAAGCAATCTCCTTCATAGACATTCCGGCTAAAGGGGTAAAATGTTACAAATATAACAATGTTTCGGTTCAAAAAGCTTGTCTCACCGTTTTCCAAGGCATGGTACACACTCTCGAGGAGCATCTTTTGTTGGGGATCCATAGCCACCACATCATTTTCGGGAAGCTGGAAGAAGGCCGAGTCAAAATTATTAATATCGTCCTTCAGAAAGTAGCCACCATTTGAATAGATGGATCCAATATGTCCCGTCGCTGGATGGTATAAATGCCTTGCGTCTAGTCGACCTTCAGGTACCGCTCCATACACCGACTTGGCTTTCATAACATGTCGCAGAAGTTCCGAGCTATTCTTCACATCACCTCCATACCTACATGCCAAACCTATAATGGCAATTGGCTCGTACATGTCTTCATTCCGGCTAGCCGAACCCATGGCTAGGAGTTTTGAGATGAATCCTAGTAGAATGCAAATGTCAAGTAATCGTTGTTGGGTCGTGACGCGAGCGATGCAAGGAAGGAAGCTTGCTGTTGTTTTGCAGGAAAAGAATTTTAATTTGGCCGCCAGTTCCCCTTGACGTACCGTTTCTTAGTCCTTACATATAGGGCAGCTCGGTGTGAATACCGAGCCGAATTCAAATGCTCCATAAATTCGATGGCACAATGACGTGTTATTACGGTGTATACCTTGCTACACGTCATTGCAAGCAACTACACGTCAATTCAACGCTTCAACTCTGACGGACCTTGGTTCGCAGGCATGGCAATGCAAAACAAGTAGATTTCAGCCACCGAGTTATCCATGAGGGCAGTGCCTTGTTTCAATACGAAATGACCCCATGTGCAATCTATCATTGCAAATAGCAGTTGATTCCTGTCACATGGAAAAGGTTTGTAACCCAAGGGCTACATTTATAGAGGTCTTTGGTCAACGAGGGGTTGAGGAAAACCAAGGGCCTTTGATAGCAAAGACTGTCATTAGATAAATTGAGCTATTGACTCGAAGCCCTCTCTATCGAGCCCTTGTCACAATTCCACAGCTCACAGAATACTACCAGCCTCTCATTGCCTTCCATCTCTCAACATCGCCATTTACTTTCGCCAAGGCTTTCCTATCGCAGCCTAATACCACCTCTGCCATTATCCTGTGCCCAGCAAGCTAGTATAGACTATGGATAGAGCGAATCTGAAACAGGTAGCGACGAGGTTCCTGGATAGCATAGGCAACCAACGCGACGTGGTAGCCATCACAGATGACTTGCATCCCGATGTTCTGTTTTACCATAATGACATGCCCCCAATGGATAAAGGAGAATTCCTCGCGTTTTGGCCGGCACTATTAGAGAAAAGCCCTCAGTTCCGGGTGACCATAAAAGCATGCATATCAGAGCGTTCAACCGTGTGGGTATATTCAGAGGTACAAGGAAGGTTCGGAAAGGGTCCAATGGACGATATCCACATGTTTGAGTTTGAAGAAAGTGGTCGGATCAAACAAAGTCGCGGAATCCAGAGGGAGATGTGTATCGGCTAACGGAGAGCTTTTCGGAAGACCGTCTACGATATGAGGGTCATGTTAAACCTGGGCGCGGACAGCATCTTGAGCATTGTCAATGGTCATACTCTAAAGAGATGGCCCCAGTTGTGGTTCCTAAACTTGTATTGAATAAAAAGATTTTGCAGACAGGAGCTCTGAAAATAGTCAATGTATGATGGTTGCCCTGTATTAAGAGAATACTTATTCAGGCAAAACTTTCAAACACATGGGGATAAAAAACTTCAATATCGCCTGTACAGTAGTAAGGGCTTGGATTGAAGGTTCGAATTCGGCTAATATCTCTCTTTCGTATTAAAGGTCCTCGGGTTTTCTCAACATCCCGGCTAAGTTCCCCTTATTTATGCAAAGCATCGGCGAGCCCTCGAGGCCTGAGCTTACGAACGCCCAAGGCTTCCAACTAGACCCTTGAGCCTTTGTGTAACCATCATCGGATTCAAGGGCCGGTCCGTGCCGTGATGTCGTCATATTGTGATGCCCGGCTGTCATAACCGCCTGACATGTAAATGGGATTGGCAAGAAATGTCGTCATTGTACTAGAACATGATTCAATGCCAACGTATTTTGTACTCTTGACTTGATTACGGCTACTATTTAAAACGGGCGAGTTCGTTTAGACTGCATGAGAAAACGTCAATGGCCGTGAAAGTGAAGCCATGTTTCTTAGACGCTGTAACAAGCGCAATCGTGCCAACCGAGTCGCCCCCGTTGGTGATGAACCCTTGTTCCATTTGTATTGGTGCCTGTAGAGATTCTGATGCATCATTTCCCTGGTAAATTGCATCTAGTACCAGGGCTCGCAGTGTTTGCTCGTCCTTGGTCAAACGCTCAGACTGGCAGTTCTGAAGTGTTTGGTTGCATCCAAATTCTTGCTGATGAGCAGCCTGGTCCAGCATATAACTTTTCAACGTCTCCGCAGGCTGTGCTATGAGGAATTCCCGGATTTGGTTCCGATCAATCTTGCCCGAGGCAGTGATGGGAATATTTTCAAGAAGAAACCATTGACTTGGAACCATGAAAGATGGAACTTGTTTCCCCAATACTTCCTTCAGGTGCAGGAATTGACTTGTGAGGCTTTCAGAGAGAGGTAAAAGCTTGCATTCCGAGAGTGATGGATGTTGAGAGTATGAAGACGCGGCCGCCTTAGGTTCCCCGAAAGCAAAGGCGACGATCAACATCTCGGTGTGGTTTCTGCCGTTTTTGACTATGTCAACTACAACTTGATAGTCTTGTGATCCATTAGATGCCACTGCATCTCTAAGGTGATACTCAACCTCGCCCAACTCTAGTCGCTGGCCCCTTAACTTTGCTTGCGTGTCCTTGCGGGAGATGAATAGCAACGAGCCGTCAAGTTTTGGGTGGTACTGAACCAAATCACCTGTCTTATAGAGTCGCTGTATGCTCGTCACCTGATCCCCCCCCTGTGGCAACGCAAACTCTGTAAGCCACGGCGGTGCCTGAATAAAGGCAGCTTCCGTTTTTGCGACATCTGCCTGATATCCCATGCCAACAATGGGACCGCCGATGAGCAGTTCTCCCACGGCTCCGACTGGCAATAACCGGTTGGGGTCGTCTACATCAACCACCCAACAGTATGAGCCTGCCGGAAAGCCGATATCTCTGGGGTCGGAGCCAATGCCTAGCAAAGGCTGGGCCGTTGCACTCACAGCACACTCGGCTGGGCCGTAGCCTTGCATCAACTTGACATGAGGCGCCCATTTCTCGATTTCAAACTTGCCCACCTTTTCTCCAACAAGCAATACTCTCTGTAGTGAGGGATAGTCTGCAGGATGCAAGGACCGAGCCACAGAAGGGGTCAGTATTGCGAAATTTGCCTGTAATCTAGCCACGGCTTCGGCAAGATCATTGGTCCTTTCATCATCAGACATGATGCCTATGCATGCACCAGCTATGAGAGTACTCAGGATTTCAGCAATGCTAGCATCAAAAGCGTACGACGAGAATTGCAGAACCCTCGACTCAGAAGTCATTGACCACGCTTTTATTTGTGCCATGGCGCTTGCGTAGTAAGCTGAATGATGAATCAAAACTCCCTTGGGCTGCCCAGTTGATCCTGAAGTAAAGACTGCATATAAAATATCCGTTGCCTCGGTTTCTGCGAGATCCCTTTTCACCGTGTGTTGGGAAATGTCGTCAGCATTGCCATCCACTGTGATGACCACCTGACCAAGCTCCTTGGCTTTGTCGACATATTTGAAGGAGGCCAGAATCAATTGCGCGTTGACTTGCTTGCATATGTCTTGTAGTCTCTGGAGCGGATAAGTCGGGTCCATCAAGACAAATGCACCCCCGGACTTTATGACGGCAAGAATAGCAACCACCGTCCACTTTGACTTCTCAAAAAGCAAGGGCACGAACTGTCCAGGTGCCATGCCATGCCTGAGCAAGTGACCAGCAAACTGATTGGCATATGCGTCCAGCTCCGAGTATGTCATTACCCCGTCCCAAGAGCGGACTGCCTCCTTGTCGGGACTCTTGATACAATTCTGTTCGATTACGCCTTGAATGCAGCTGGCGTTAGTTCCAGGATCTTTTGTCCACTGGTGCAGAAGTTCGCAGTCGTGCTTGCTGAGTTGATTCAACTCATTTAGCTTAGTCGATCCCTTTTGATGCAACTCTTGCAAGGTATGATCCAGCTGGCTCAAAATGAGGGTCACCTGTTGTTGCCCAATCATATTGTTATCAAAGTACGATTCGACCACAACCTGTTTGGTATTGATGATTTCGCACGAGAGATTGAGTCCATAGGAATAGAAATCCGCTTGTCCTTGTTCGGTGGTGAACGGCTTGAGTCTGGAATCCATGCTTGGAGAATGCACAACGAGTAAGGTCTGGAACTCGCACGCCTTGTTACAACTCGTTGATAATCGAGAGATGTTTTGCAGACCCCTCTGCTCATGTGATAACATTTCCACGGCCTGATTTTGCACCATTTCCAGGGCATCATCGACACTCCAGTTGGGGTCTATAGTTACCCGAAAGGGTGTCGTTGCAAGGGTTGCTCCAATTAACCAGTCGATGTTCTCGACGGGGGCACTGCGGCCATTTGACACAGTTCCAAACAAAACGTTAGAACTCCCCGTCAAGCGGTGAATCACAAGAGCCAATGCGAGGCGAATCTTGGTTGCCAGTGTGTGTCGACTCGCCAGTTCTCCCGGCAACGAAATGCGCTTGCGTATTGTCAAGTTTGCATATGGGAAGTAATTATCACTTGGCAGTCTGGGGAATACAGGATAATCTTGGTCGCCAACGTAGTTCCTCCAATAGACATCAGCCTTTCCATCAGACTGAGAGAGACAGTGCCTGACAAATGGCTTGAAGTCCTGCTTGCTGAGCGACCCAAGCTGCCACGATGCATCAAACACTCGAAGCAAGCATGCGGCAGACCAGCGGTCAAACAATGAGTGGTGAATCATCATCAGCAATCGTCGTTGTGTTGGTTGGTCCCCCAAGAGAACCACAAAATGAACCAGCCGTGAACCCAGAGACATTTCCTTTCTAAGGCGTCCAGAAATTTCTCCAGGCTGACCGGTAAAACTGATCCATGATATAGACTCTTTCAATACAATTTGACATGTTCCGTGGTTCCCAAGATATGCAAACCGGGTTCGCAGGACGGGAACAGACTCTGTGACCCTTGACCACGCATCCTTGAATCTCTCTAGGTCGATTTCAGGTGATATATCGTATACCATCTCGCTCACATACGAGCCTGGCCGCCGGAGGCTCAGACTCATCAGACCCTGCTGCAGAGCGGTGCAGGGATACACGTCCTCAACATCGCCTGGTGACACATGGCATTGCCTAGCAGCTTCAAGTTTGCATTCATCCAGGAGGCTTATTCCGGATATGTCTGCTCCGTC